CATCACCGGTGAAATGAAAAAACAAACAGAAAAGACCCCCCTCCCAAAAAAACAAAATCAAAACAAAAAAACCTCTTATGTACTGGCTCTAATATATTCCTCTGAGATATTTAATCAGGGTCTTTTTTTACTCAGGTGGCAGACATTCAACTCTGTCCATAAATGTATCAATTTAGTCTCCTCATCTTTTAATCTCTAAAGAATTCACTAAGCTATGTGAATATAGTAGATTCACTCAGTATAACATACCTTAAAAGGCACATATCTCTAAACAGGATCAATAATTTATAAAATGAAAAACACCATGATACAACAGTTGTAAAAGTACAACACCCCTAGTTCAACTGCACTTATTAAATCTTTAGGCATAGAAGAGGGCAAGCTTGAATGATTGGTTCCTTGGCAATGAAACTCTGAGAAGCTACATTTCTGTGAACTAGCTAATTGCTTAATATGCCAGGATATTTTGAGAGTATTGTACTTTACATACTTTATTTCATGTGACCCTCATTTTACATACAAGAAGAAAGTATCAGAGAGATTAAGTAATTTACTCTAGGTCACATAGTCAGTGAGTATGGCTGAAGGGATCTGAATTCACTTTTGACACACCACAAAGAGGCACATTATGAACAAGACTAGTAAATGCAATGAAGACTCTTCAATGAAGCTTGCTGAATTGAATCAGAAGACATCATCACTATGTACACTACCACTATGGGATCTTTGGTCTACCATCTGTGTCTTAGTTTCCTTACTACAAAATGAAGAAGTAAGGCTCCTCTGATATGCATCAATGTTAAAAAAGTTTGTATAATGAACTAAAGGTTACAGATTCACCAACAGAAACTATTATAAGATTTTCTAAGAATCTAAACTTCTCTCATTTTTCAGAATTATTTTTAAATTTTTTTATTTCAGAGTAATTTGGCCGCCACTGAATCTCCTTGGGTTGCCAACTCGATCTCACTCCAACGCTTCCCTTGTCTACCTTGAGGCATCCCTTAGAATAACATGCTCAAAAGAAACATTTTCAACTCCAAAAAGTATTGCTAAGTAAGGTATATTTTACTGAAGGCTCTTTGTCAAAATCCTTTAATTACCTCTGCTCTTCCCCCAAAGTTCTTCTCCCCAGGGTCGTGGTCACATTTCTTTCTCCTTCCTATTTCTACCAATTTTTCTGGCCTCCTCCTCATATTTTCTCAAAATCCTATTTGCTTATACCCAGTGAAACAAAAGCCCTGGAACACCTACTGTTCCTGAAACACAACAAGAAAGGGAAAAGAAAAACGAGGTCCCAGTTCATAACAGGAATCTTAATACAGTATTGTACTTTCAAAGAAGAATAAACCTATGATTGGAAATTCTCAGTTCAACTAGTGAAGATATAAAACACCCTTCCTATCCAGTTTTCTCCCCTGCCTTGCTCCAAAGCCACTGCCATATGGAATCAACATAACGGATGAGAGTATGGTATATGTAATGAAAGTAATCCCATATTTGTTTCAAATTGTATTTAGTGTTATTACTGTATTCACTTATGAGGCTACTTGGAATTCCATATGAAATCATGAGTTTAAAAAGCACACACCTCAATAACCATCTTCTAAACCATGTGATTTTTATTTAGTTTCATTTGATTATGAAAAGACGGTATTATTCTAGCCCACTTAGTTTCGTAAAGTCTTCAAAGTTCTTTATATATAGCATCTCAATCTTTTGTCAACAGTAGGGCACATGTCAGTGGAGTAAAACTGAGGCTGAGGCAAGGGAAGGGAAGCCCCCTATGCAGTAGAGCAAACAGCTGACATCAGTCATTAATCCAAATACTGACACAGACAATGGAATTTAGAACCTGCATTACCACGAGGTTGTCACTGATGACCATTTGTCCAGAATCAGTGATTTAGTATGACAACACCGTTTTTGAACTTCAAGTGCAATTTGTGACTTTTCAATAAATTTATCTTGAAGAAAGAATGATATTCCATAAAGAATAACAAACCACTAAGACAGCAAAGGTAAAACCAAGCTGTGCATTAGGAAAAACAATTCTAAATTTAGCACCCTAAATTACAGCAAGGAAAGCCCTCACACCACCATTCACAAGTCTCTGTTCAAGCAATTTATTTTTGGCAAACCAAATCACAGCTGTCAACACTGGTTTTTTTCCCCCCCAAAATTACATAAATTATTCTGAAAAAATACAGACATCTTCAACTTAGGGAAAAGTTACAAATGCCGTGTGTCTTTATAAATGCCTATTTTAAAAAGTCACACGGAAGGGAGTTAAAAAAAAAAAAAAAAAGCAAACAAACAAACCCTGGAAGATGCAGCAGAGCCCCCTTGCTCCCGAAATAAAACTCCTGGTGGCTGTAACAGCAGCGGCAGCGCTACTCCCGACAGAAGTTTTCAGCTGTCACTTCTAACAGCTGAGCGCTTCCTAGGAGAGAAGCGACAGGCCGAGAAGAGAGGTGGTTGTGGGAAGTCTGAAGATATAATATTTGAAATCTTACACTGGAAGGGAAACCCTTCCGCACTTCACCTGCACTTAGGGGATGTCCAGCAAGCGCAACCCCCTCCCCCCAACACATGCTCAGACCACCCGCGCCCCGCCACACTCAGGTCCAACAGCTCCGGGAATCGACCACGCGCCCTTTCTCCTTACCCCCTCAAACAGATTGCTCGCGGCTGCACTGACCTGAGGCTAAGGGCGACCTGCACCTGCGAGTCCTGCAGAGGCCTCACACCTAGGGGCATGTCCGCCCCGCCCGCTCCCCTGTCGGGCAGTGCGGTGCCTCAGCTCCTCCAGGAGCCCTCCGGGTCTCCACGCTCCAGAACACGTCTGGCTTCCAGCGTGCGCGCCACCGCCCCGGCCCTGTCACCTCGGCACCCTCCCTCCCCGAGACCCCGGGCCTCACCCCCTCCTCCAGCTCATCCTCAGAGCCTGCGTCCTCTGGCTGGTCCAGGTCTATGTCAAACACTCCTGCCATGTCCTCAGCTTCCCTGTCTCGGAAGTCCGGCGCTGGGTAAAAGCCGTCCCGCCTCCGTCGTCGCCTCATGGGCCCGGACCTGCCGCAGCCACCGCCGCTACTGCCGCCATCACCGGCTGCTTAGGCTCAGTGCGTCTGCGCCTAGGCCGTAGACTGGCTCCTCAAGTTTAGCGTAAGAGCATGCGTATTGGGTTCCATGAAGCCAAACTGTGGGCAATGCACATGCGTAGAACTATGGCCAGGATCCAGGTACTGGCAGAAACATGCGCAAAACACCAGCCGAAGCCAGGCCTGGAGACTGGAGCATGCGCATTGTCACCTAAAGCTTTTGGTAGACAGTGAGCATGCGTACCATATCTGAAGTTGATAAATTGAGATTGAACATGCGTAATTAACCTTTCTGAATAGGAAAAAAAAATACACAAAACCCTTCGTTTGTGGAACATGCGCATTCATTCTCAGATGTTTAGAGTTGAAAGTGAGCATGCGCATAGTGAGAGGGCGGGTCCTCTGATGTTTGAAAGGGACAGAAGCGGCTGGTTCGGGGGCTGTCCGTGAGTGGGGTTAACGGTGAGCTCCTGGGGTTAAGGGAGAGTTCCTGGGGCCGATGGGGAAAGGGAGAGTCTTGGCTTTGCCGTTTACTAGTTTGGTGGCCTTGTGAAAGTCACATAACCTTTCAGAGCCTCAGTTTCCTTGTCTGTACGATGAGGATAATAATACCTACTTTGCGGGTTTGGACTTACAAGTACAATGTCTGGCTCTCAACCCACTGCTCGTTTCCAGTGCTGCACAGACCTGATTTGAAGTCTTTATCAAAAATTGCCTCCTTTCGTTGTTAAAAATAATGAAGACCTGTTCTAATATTTCATCTGGTCTTCTTTCTCCAAGCACCATCTTTCTGTTGTACCTGAGCTAAACACAGTCTTTCTTGTAAGTCTTACTAAAGTTACCAGGCTAGAAAGGTGGTTAGTGGAGAGAGTAAGTCATCATTTAGAAGAGAGAAAATTAGTGTTAATTGAATGTACGACTGTTGTGCTCACTGCTGTATTGTGTGTCCATGTGTGTGAAGTGTGGTACTACTAATTCCTTCAACCAGCATTCATTTTGTTTTGTTTTAAATGCATATTTAGGAAAATAGTGAGTATAAATCAGATTTTGGAAGCTACTGAGTTGTGTATGAATGAGCTTGGGTACCGTCAATCACAAATCCCAAAACCATACAGAGTAAGAGAAGAACTTGAATAACTGGCTCTGTAGACCATATAGCTGTTTCATTTATAATATTATATATGAGGCATTCTAAAATTATTTTTTGTTGATGTATATATAATTAACATAGATGGCATTTTATTTATTCTTATTAGTAATGTAGTGGTTCTCAAAGCCTATATTTTGTCTATTACAGGTTATTCACTTTTTTGAGGAAATAGGCCTAGACTGTGACTCAGCATGTCAATAGTGACGGTACAGCTTGGTCAGTGTGGCAATCAGATTGGTTTTGAAGTGTTTGATACCTTATTCAGTGACTCACACAGTTCCCAGGGACTCTGCTCTAAGAGAGAGAATGAGGCATATCGAGCATCTTGCAAAGAAAGATTCTTCAATGAGGAGGAAAATGGAGGTATGTGTGGTCTGCAGGCCTCTCCTTTACTCCGACTTAGCCTACCTCTTCGGCCAGGCCTTCCACATGGTATCTGAACCCCATCCCTTTCCATCTCACTAGGGAATGACTTTGCCCTTGACCCTTTGTTTCTATGTTAACCACCTTTGCTTCTCCAGTGGCATCTTTCCCTCAGCACATGTGCATGCTCCCATCTCACCAGTCTAAAACCAACCAGACAAAACTTATTTCTTAACTATAGCTTTCCTCTTCCTTCCTATCTCTTTGCCTTCTCATCTAAGATTTTCAAAGGAGAACCCTGCTTAACCAACTCTAATCCTGTTTCTGCCCCTCAACACCACTGAACCACTGAAGCTGCTCTGAGAAAAGTTTCCAGTGACCTGATTTACCAGATCCAGCTGCTATTTTTCTGTTCTTTTCTCTTCTTTTGTTTTTGTTTTTGTTTTTGTTTTCCTTATGAGACGGGTGATATGTTGTCCAGCCTGGAGTGCAGTGGCTATTCATAGGCCTCGGCTTCCCGAGTAGCTGGGACTACAGGTGAGTGCCACTGTGCCCAGCTAATTTTTCTTCTCTTACTTTGCTTAATTTCTCAACTGGATTGGATAACTGATAACATTAACTGTAAAAGTCCCTCCTTGAAACTCTTCCTTAGTCTCTGTACTTCTCTTCTCCAGTGGTTGTATCTCAAGCTTTCCTTTGTCCTCACTTGTATAGTTCTCTGTGGGAAATTTCAATCACTCTCAAAATTAGGTTCATTTTTTAACACCAGTAACTCTTGAACTCTTCACCTCAAGCGATCCTCCGGCCTCGGCCTCCCAGAGTGCCAGGATTACAGGCAGGAGCCACCAAGCCTACACCAATGACTCTCAAACCTAGCCCAGCCTCTCTTTTAAGCTTTAGGCAAATTATGGGATACTTCCACTTGCACCTCCCATGTGAGCCTCAAACTCAACATCTTTATACCCAAGGCATTCGTTATCTTTCCATTAGAACTTACACTCTTACTGCACATGTACCATCAAATATCACGATCTGCTTACTTGACTTCCTATATATCTCTTGAAACAATTCTCCCCTTTCCACCCTCACTGACA